TGTTGTAGGACTTCAGTTTTCTTCTGCTTCTGCTCCATTAATTATCTAATTAGAACCCCCAACTAGCCACATGTATATAAGTGGAGTCTTTACTTCCATCAGAAACCAAAATAAATGTCCTTCTGTACTTAAATAGGTTATTAAATGCAGGGGATTTAATGGAAGTGGGGTATTTTTAAGTTGGGACATCGTTACTTTTACTTAAGTGCAGAATTCTGCTGCTGAAACATTCATAACCAGCGTTCTTCAGTCCACCTGATAAGCAGATGGGAAATTTTCATATTGAGTGTTGAGATAAAAAAAAGTGTTGCATAGGTTGCTGGTTACGGCAAGAGGAACTTTTTTTTTAGTTGCTTCCTCTTTCTAATAAGTATTCAAGAAGTGGAAAGTTGTATTGACCTCATTTACAGTAAATTGATAACGTGCGGCACGTAGTCACATCCACTTTATTTCACCACTCGACCATCTCCAACCTCCTCCACTCGCTCTTCACACGGCTGCCGATGACAAAGCAGAGCGGCTCTTGTCTCCGCTGCCCATGTTTGTGCTCTTCAGCAACACAAGCACCCCGACACTTTGCTCGCAACAGCCGCGACAGCTGAACTTCAAAGCGGCTCCATTCCCATCGAGCGCGGAGGAAACGGCCGGAGCGATGGCCGGTTTTGTTTTCCGCGGCGGTGTGATGCTACCGTATGGCGGCGGTTCAAGCGGGTTTCGAGAGGCTGAGAGTTGTTTTCATTGCAATATTTTTCAATTATTAATCTACATTAGTAAAACAAATTTCCAGTTTCCCCATTTAAATATTCGGAGACTTCACAGGGCTCAACACTCCTTTAAAAACCTCACTAGTGTAATACATTTATAGTTAGCAGCTCCATTAAGCGTTATGACTCACCCTCTCAATTTAGCCTCTGGGATGGCTCAGAGGGAAAGACTCTCTTGAGGGAAATAAATTAGATCTATTTTGGGGGGAAAATAAAATATGTATTTACAAAAAGAATGTAACATTTAAGAAAAAAGAAAACAACAACTGCGCTTTTATGGATTGTTTCGATGTGGAAAGAGGAAATCTGCTTCACTGTGTTTTTCATTACCGGGGCCTGATGCATTTATACACAAATATTTTTCTACACCTCGCTCGTATAATACGTGATTTTATTCCTGCTGCTTCAGTAACCGCACAGACTGCTGCCTGGCAGACTTCTCTCTGTACTTCAAGCCATGTCCTTGTTCTATTTTGTGTGCTCTGTCACAAATATCATCCTATTGCATCAGCTTTGTCTGACTACATTCTCACTGTTCTGAGCGCTGGAAAAACACCTCAGGGTTGAGGGTCTGCTGCTGCCATTCACAGTCTGTTTTCACACCACTCAACCTGTCCGGCACCGCTGGGAAAATCCCATATTTCCCCTTTTACACACACACACATACCTGCAGCACCTGCCTGGAACCTCAGTCTTTGTTTATTTTGTGGATTTAGAAGCACACAAAACACACCTGAATGAATGAGTCAGTCTTTTCATCGCCACGAGGCTCGTTGCTGCCCCCGTAGTGTCGCGTTACAATTGCAAGCCGCTGCCCCGACTAACATCTGCTATACAGCTGATTCTATCGCTGCTAGAATGTCTGTGCATCGCTGTTAATCAACGGGCTTTTCAAGTGAAAACCGTCAATTTATCAGTGCCCGCTGGAGCGACAAATAAGTGCTTTCCCCATCTGACATCGAATCAGCTCGACAACATAATTTGCCATTTTCCAAAAGCTGTCAAAATTTACTGTTGAAAAATAAATCAGTTTTATGATGTGATGATGCTGTGATTAAGGTGTTTGTAAGACACAAACACTACTTGAAACATGGTTTGGTTAATGGATACGCTCAGGTCTGATGCTCTGTTGACCCCTCCATCCTCCCTGAGCTCCTCATTATTTGTTTTTAATAATTTCTTACTCTTTTGTTCCATTCCTAATACTTCAGATAAACAGATGCTGACTTGAGGCACTGGTCAAACCCACTGATCTTTCTTCTTGGGAGTCTCCTGTCACTCAGCTTCAGGGTTATATTTTTCTCTGAGGTTATCTTTTCTGAAAAAGCATAAAAAGTTGGGAATTTTATCATTCTAATAAACTACATATCCATATAAAACTATGATAACATTTATAGTGGCTGTTGTACCACCTTATTTGAATATTTTTTACACTTAACAAGTTGACATTTGACTGCTTTTTAGCACAATAAAATTATAAGTAAAGTTTTTTCCTACCAGAATTTTTATCTCTGGTAGTGTGGAGTTGAAGCTGCATTTTATTCCTTCCATGTTGAAAAAATATCAAATATACAGACATTGTAGATGAGCCGTTTCACTGCACAGCACCTGATGAATATTAAAATGTGAAGTTTGCCTGGGTTTGGTGGTTGGGGAACTTCTCTGCACATGGCTCAGCTCTTCCTCTTCCTCTTTTTGCTTAAAATTAGACAGATGAATATAGCAGCTGAAGCTGTTAACTAAACAAACAAACAAACAAAAAGATGTTCCGTGATCTAACCTGGCACGTTTTACGCATTCAGCCTCCGTTGGCAGCGGGGACAGCTTTAATGTGCAAAATCCTATTCTGATTCTGACACAATTTTGGGAAGATAAGAAAAAGTAAAATATGAAATGTGAAAGTGCAAAATGGGACCCCGTTTAGAATTCTCCTTTGATTTGTTCCTCTGTCTCTCGCCAAGAGGCTGGATTGTCTCTGGCTAATTACTGAAGCGGGTTGTCCTGCAGTGATGAAATATCGCCAAGCGTTGCAGCAGAGCTCGTGCTCAGACAGCATCTTGAAATTCCCTGATGTCACTCTGTAAAACCAGCTCTTACAGCGGAACGCACCAGTTTGCATAACACAAAGCGATTGTCCAAATTTATGTGTGGAATATGAATGTGATGATTTCAGGCAGAGGCACGGTGCCTGCAACTCAAACGCTCTCTGTTTGGTTGCTTGTCTGGGGAGCAGTAGAAGTTAAAAGAGGGGTTTTTAAATAAGATCAATGGCGGCGGCAGGAAGTGACTGACACGGTAAAGGGGATAAATATCTAATATGCAGTTAGGTCAGACGCTAACAAAATACCCAAAACTCACAAATGGGATTCAAGTGTTTAAGGAAATTCTCAAGTGAAACTGCCTCAGAGTGATTTACATACATTAAGCAACATCAAAAGGACTCTTTGTACACCTCTAAGTCATTATTACTTCAAAAGCTTGTGTCTCTGACTTTGTGAAATTAACCAGGACTACCTGCGCTTCATGTTTCACCTGCTCAAGACAAGCTTGACCCTGCGGTGGTGGTATTATGTGGTAAAAATAAAAAGGCCACTGACCTCTTA